ATATGTACATTTCTTAAATTCTGAAACTTATTTAACAGATGCAACAAGTAAATCAACAAGGGACTAGGAAATGGTAAAAGCCAGACTTATTTTCGATGCATCAAATACCCGAGAAACAATCCTTGCTCATTCAAGTTCAATCATATTGCATAACTCTTTCTTCTGATTACATTCAGTCAGACTAGATTCTCTTAGGTTAAAAGGCTCTCGAAATTTCCTTAAAAATGTTACTTCAACTGAGAATTTCACTCGTGAATCTCATGCATTACAAGAACGTAACTAAATTCAACTAAGAATTCTTCCATTCCTATTCATTGATCTAATCCAAGTATACAATCATTTTACACTAATTATTTCGTTTAGTACTAGTTTCAGCACTATAGCTCACGAAAGCCTTGCCTACTAGCTTTTTCCTTGGGTCAGATCTTAGAATTCTTTGTCGCAATTGAATTTGAAATGGCTATAGAGTGGAGACAGACTTTTCACTGTTTTCATTTGGCAGTGCAATTTCCACTCTTTGAGAGTAACTATAAATCATTTAAACAAAGATAAATGAGATTTGAAGTTTTGAACTATTCTTGTTCAGTCATTCAGTATTATCACAACTATTCTCGTATCCATTTAACAATATACAACCTTAATTTTACCATGAAGAAGAGGAGACTCAAAACATTGGTTTGAAATGAATGTTGATTCCTTTTCTTTTCATATTTAAAAAAAAAATTCAAAAAAAAAATTTTTTTTTTGGGGGTGGGGTGGGGGGGTACGTGCCCCCCCAGGCCACCCCCCAGGTCCGCCCTTGTATTGGAGTGATGAGTGGAGCTATTATTTACATCCAGAAAGATATCCACATAACCGACGTCCAAAAAGGGGTCATAATGGGCATCCTTAACGTCTTTTCCCTTCTGGGCTCAGTCGTCGCTAGCCGAACTTCAGACTGAATTGGCTGCAAATACATTGTAGTTTTAGCCGGTGCAATTTTCTTGGTCAGAGCTCTCTTGATGGGCTTAACCACCAACTATGCTTTCCTAATGGTGGGAAGGTTTGTTGCGGGAATTGGAGTAGGTTACGCCCTCATGATTGCTCCGGCGTAAACAGCCGAGGTAGCTACAGCATCATCCCGTGGATTCCTCATTTCTTTCATGGAGGTTTTCATCAATATTGATATGCATTACATTCTATGCTTTTCTTTTTTCACTCATAAACCCTATGACTGAGGGCAAAACAATGATGTGCCTAAATCTCCAAGAAAAAGCCCTACAAATTTGTCGCCATTTAGATAAAATAATCTTTCGATTTGTTCATAGGTATATTAATTGGATATGTATCAAATTATGGATTTTCCAATCTTCCAAGTCACTTGAGTTGGCGATTCATGCTTGGACTCGGAGCCATCATGTCTATATTCTTAGCTGTTGTAAAACAAACAAGATACCAGAATATTTCTGATACCACTTGTTGTTAAACCAACCACTAGATTGAGATGTTGAAGTTATATGGCACAATAATAAAGTATTTGATCAATCAAAAGAATAAAGAAGACAAGAAATATGGCAGATGAATTAGAAGATTTTATTGACTCAATAATAATGGAGAAAAGAGAAAATTACAATGGATCCTATAATTCTAGTAATTTATTTTCTCATACTTATTAAATTGTATATAAGAGCCTAATATTTATAAGAAATATGCAAGGAACGTCCAAACCCTGTTGGCAGAGTTGTTGATGTAGAATACCAAAAAATCGAGTCCAATACGAAATGGGAGAAGAAAATGCGGAAAAATTGGAAACAATCAGGTGGGCGTTGCGGCCACCTCCGGGCGCCACGACGCTCATTCTCGGCACTGCGGCATCGGACGTTCTGAATTTTTTTTTTAATTGTTTTATCCATTCTAAATTCTCCTTCAAGTCTAATACTAATTTTCAACTCCCAATGAGCTTCCAAAATAGAACTTTAACTTGGCATAGGACTCCAATAGCATTCTAAATTGAAGTCTCCTTGGCGTGCACTTCAATTATAATTCTTCAATTACTTCAACAAGGAATTCGGGTCACACCCAAATTATAACAATCTCCACATTGACACGAATTTCACCAAGGAATGAACTAACTTTTTCAACAATACTAGAAAATTAATTTCTCCTGCAAAACACAATACTCCACCTCTTCCAATGAATTCAAGCACTACTCTGCAGAATTACCTCGAATTCCCAAAAAATCATAATGATTTTAAATTAACCAAAATGTGCTGTAACACACCCCAAAACAAAATCCATATCAAATGCTTTTACAAAAGGTCTCTTGCTAGATTGTACGCCTTCAACTTCACTTAAAGCATGCTCAAAGCATTCACATACCATTTTCCACTGGATCCATCCCTACCAATTGAATACAATGGCACCGCAAGTGATAGTGGCAAAGCGGCATTATCCATGTCTTCTAAACTCCACTGAGATCTATTTTTCAAATCAGACCATTGACAAGCTCCTAAAGGTATTGTACCAAACTAAATGTCCACCAGGTACTAAACATTTGTTGATTGACTCTTCTAAATTCTGCACAACCTTGCAAGATGTATAACTGAGATATTTCCTGTCCTTTCAATACAACCTGAGCTCCCTTACAAACCTTCAAATCTCCACATACACCAAAGAACTCATAACCATTTGAATCAATGATAGCCAACGAGATAAGATTCTTCTTCAAATCCGAAACATATCGAACCTGACCAAGTGTTCTAATTGTTCCACCCAAAAGCTTTAATCTGACCCTACCAATTCTAGCAAACCGACAAGGTGCGTTGTTTCCCATAACCATGTCAGAAATAGCTAAAAACTATCCTTCACTTACGATGTTCTTCGCGAGGTCTACTTCACCTGAAGTATCTGAATATCTACTTGCAGCCATCATTTCTTTATTGCAATTTGTAGCAATCCTTCTTCATGTGCCCCTTCTTCTTGCAGTAGTTACAAATATGATTACTGAAGTTAGATTTCGATTTGCCCCATCCAAAACCACAATGAGCAACCAGGTCTTCTCCATCTCTGGCCTCAGAAATCAGATGCTTCATCTTCTCTTTTGAATACAAAGCATTATACACCTCTTCTATGGTGAGAGTATCATGACTATATAAGATCGGGTTTCTAAATGAAGAAAACAAAGCGGGCAACGAACACGATATGATTAAAGCCAAATCTTCTTCATCATACTCTACTTTCAAAGTTTCCAAATTAGCGACGATCTCTTTAAATACGGTCAGGTGATCTTCCAATGATCCTCCTTCTGACATTCGATGATAGTATAAATGCTGCTTGAGGTTCAACTTGATCGTCAGACTTTTAGTCATGCACAATTGCTCAAATTTCAACCATAAAGCAGCTGCTGAATTCTCTTTCAAAACGTTCTGAAGAATAGTATTTGATAGATGAAGATGAATGTGAGAAACTACCTTTTTATCCTTATGTAATTTCTCCTCTACGGTCAAAGTTGTTGACATCTTGTCAATTCCTAGCAACGCATCATCCAAATCCAGTTGTACGAGTACTGCACGCATCTTAACCTGACATAACGAAAATCTTGTACTCCGATCCAAAAGCGGAATGTCATACTTCATGTAAGCCATTACGAACAAAAACCTCGAACAAATCAAACATTGCTCTTTGAGGAACTGCTGAACCTAGATTCTAATACCACTTATTGTAAAACAAACAAGATACCAGAATATTTCTAATACCACTTGTTGTAAAACCAACTACCGGATTGAGATATTGAAATTATATGGCACAATAATAAAGTATTTGATCAAACAAAAGAATAAATACAAGAAATATGGTAGAGAAATCATGAGATTTTATTGACTCAATAATAATGGAGAAGAGAGAAAATTATGATGAATCATATAATTCTAGTAATCTATTTTCTCACATTAGCCATTGGAGTTCTACCAATGCTTGAGTCCCCGCGTTGGCTCGTCATGCAGGGTCAACTTGACGAGACAAAAAGGGTTCTAGACAAAACCTCAGACTCTCTGTAAGAATCAAAACTGAGATTTGTCGATATCAAAGACGCTACTGGAATTCCTAAACATTGCAACGATGATATTGTGACGATAACCAAAGACTCGGGTGTGGCGTTTGGCAGGAGCTACTCCTCCGCCGTCTGCCACATTTTGATTTGCACCTTGGGAATCCACTTTTTCTAGCAATCAGGTGGCATAGACTCTGTGGTTCTCTATAGCCCAGATATCTTTAAAAAGGCCGATATAACTAAGGACACAGATAAACTACTTGCCATAGTGGCCGTAGGATTCACCAAAACAATCTTTATTCTAGTGGCCGTATTTTTTCTAGAAAAGATCGGACGATGGCCGTTGCTACTCTTTAGTGTTGCCAGGATGATTTTATCTTTATTGGGCCTAGGATTTGGGCTAACAATTATTGATCATTTTGAACACAAACTTGTTTGGGCTATAGCTTTGTGCATTACCTCTATTTTGTGTTATGTGGCCTTTTTCTCAATTGGGATGGGCCCAATCGCATGGGTCTACAGTTCAGAAATATTTCCAATGAAGCTAAGGGCCCAAGGGTTCAGTATGGGAGTGGCAGTGAATCGGATCACAAGTGGATTAATTTCAATGACGTTTATATCTTTGTACAAAGGCATCTCAATTGGCGGGACTTTCTTGATGTGTGCAGGGATTGGTGCAGTTGCATGGGTGTTTTTCTATACTTTATTTATCGAGACTCGGGGTAAAACACTCGGGGAGATGGAATTGTTGTTTGGCACTTTTTCTAAGTGGAGATCTACATCGAGGAAATTGAAGAAGGAAAAGGCCGAGATCGACAGCACCAATTATCATATCCAAATGGAGACATGGGGCACTCTATAAACTACTCTTTGACAAATATGTATGGAGTAGAATAAAAAGAATAGCGCAATCTAACATCATTAATGCTTAAACACATCGGTATAAGTAGAATTATGACTCGTTTAGTTTTACGTCACATTTAAAACCATTGGTACCATCTAAACTTATTTTTTAATACCAATTGTACTAAATAGTACTCCCTTCGTCCCAATTATATAGGCTTATTTAGTTTTTCACACGAATTAAGAAAGTTTATTTAATATCATTGAAAAATTAATTTTTGCTAAGATCTTTCCTAATTTACTCATATTCAGTTTTCAGTGTGTAAAACTAAATTATTATTAGAATTAATAAAGAATTTGAATTTTCAAGAAGTTTGCATATTAAGTGGAGAAAATTTAATAAGGATATATTAGTAAAAGAATAAAACAAAATATTCTACATTAGGAAACAAGTCTATATATTTGAGATAAGAGAAAAAGGAAATTCAATATATATAATTGGAACTGAGGGAGTAATGCACAAAGAAATGAAGCAAAATAAATGTTTCTGTTTCGAGTGGAAAACCAAAAAGGTGACTTTTAGTTGTGCAAAAAAGAATCTCATTAGAGAGTATTTAACTGATTTTTTTTTTTAAAGCAATATATATATATATAGAACACAACTTTTATTTCTAAGGAAAATTATTTATAATTTAATAATTGTCAGAGTTTTCTTCACTTTATATATGATTGAATAGGTCTAAGAGTTATGAGAGCATTTTTATTGTGGGTTATTTGTGTCTATTTCGTAGGACTAGGTTGATTATGACTTTTTTGTATCAATAATATTTAGCTATGTTTAGCCCCAAATTATATTTTAAAATGAAAGTGACACCTGACACGCCATAACTTGAAATAATGCACAACCACCCGTTGAAATTTCATTTTCCCACCCTCAATGAAATACTACCCATTTACTACTTTACCCCTATTTTTTCTCTACAATTGCAATAGAGGGCACTTTTGAAACAAAACAAAATACCAAAAAACAAACGACTGGTGGGACAAATGAAAGTGATGTGAAATGATTGTATGGTGAGATAGTCGGGCCCACACGCACTGTAGAAAAAATTAAATTCTTATGAAAAAAGGCTGTCAACATGAATGTTAGAAAAAAAAAGGGAAGTGCTACATGTACATAATTTTGTACATAATGGTGTCCATAATTACACGTGGCACTGGATCCAACCTTTAATTCAAATCTCACACTTTCACATCAACAGTCAGATCTTGTCCACATCAAATTATGGACACCATTATGTGGCCAAATTATGTACACTTAGACTTTTCCAAAAAAAAAAGGGAGAGAGATGTGGTACTCGATGGTTAAAAAAGGCTGTCAAACAGGAGATTTTGATTGGTGAGCTCGAGCGTCATAGCTAGGGCTTTGAAAAGAGGAAATTACGAAAAATCAGATATATAAAGATTGATTTTCATAAATCAGGTTGAAAGTTTAATTATTCAAAAATCATATAATAAATCAATGTCATCCCAAACCCTAGAAACCATTTCCATTTTCTTTCTCTTCCCATCTCTCTGTCTTCTCTATCTCATGTCTTCTCCGCTTTCTCTCTTCTCTCTCTCTACCAACCTTCACCGACGACTCCTCCCATCTCTGTCAACGACGTCATTGCTCTCATCTCGTCGATGCAGATCCATCCTTCTCCCCTTTTTTATTTTTATTTTTGAGTAGGGGTGATTGATTGTTCGGTGGTGGAAGTGGAAGTCTATGTTGGGTGGCGGGTCTTGTGGTCGCGTTGATGGCGGTATGGTGGTTGTGGAGTGTTGGCTGTGTTTGGTGGCAGATCTGGTGGTTGCAGTGAGGTGTGGTCGCGGTGATGGAAGTGATGGTGGTCGTGGCGGATCTGGTGGTCGCAGTAATGGTGGCGAGTTCTGGTTTGAATCTTATTTGTTGTTTGGAAATGGTAGTTGTGGTGGTGGCTGACGACAACGCTGTAAGGTGGTGGCCGTTTGTGGAGTGTTGGCTGCTGGTTGTTGATTGAAGTTACAGGTGGAGGTGGTGTGTGGTGTTGGAGCAGGCGTTTGTGGCGACGGCGACGGTGTGGTGGTGGCAATGGTGGCCGGGTGAGGGTGGTCCCAAGTTGCTGTAGTGCTGTAGCGGTAGTGTTGTTGGTGACGGTGGTATGTGACGACTATTTAGTGTATGTGACTAATTATTTGGTCATATGTGACCAAGTATGGGTGCTGGATCAGATCGGAGTGGGGTGTTTCGGTGTATGTGACCAACTATTTGGTTCAACTTGAACATATGTGACCGATCGATAAAATGTGACCTACAATTTTTTTGATTTGTGATCAATAAAATAAACCGTGATGTATAAAAAATTTTATTTGTGACCTCAAAATAATTTGAGACCAATTAATTTGATAAAATGTGATCAATAAATAATTTGTAACTCATAAGGATGCATATGTGACCATGAATTGTATAATTGTGATTTTAATACATTTAATTAATAAGATATATTTAATTAATTAACAAATATCTGATTTTTGAATTTTTAAATTTAAGACCTGAAAATTGATTTTGTGATAGTTAACACCTAATTTATGAACTCTTCCCCTTTGAAAATCGATTTGAACGTGGCCCACTGCCTAATAATTAGCCCAGCCCATTTTTTTAAGAAAATTTTCCATACCATTGCAATATTTATCGAGTAAAAGTTAAGTCCATAAGGAGTTTTATAGTTTGAACCTCTATTGCAGTTTGTAACTAAAAAAGCGTTCACCATATCTTCTAATCTACTAACTCCAATATTCACTTCTTCAAATGGCTAGCACAATTTCCTGTATTTACACTGTTGGATTTTTTGATATCCAATAAATTCGGGCAATGATTTAAAATAGTTGACGAATAATTTATTGGCACCATAGACTTGGCTCGACCCGAATACTACCGATACTTTTGGAAGGCCCAAAGATTGAAATGGATTGGTGGTTTTGATTAGTATAGGGTTTATTGGTTAGGCCCATTTACCTATGATTAAGTTGGCCTATCCTTTTTGGCCCAATTATGTAACCTAATATACATCTATCTCTTATGTAAACTTGTGGGTGTGTTGGTGCAAGAGAGGAGTGTGAGAAAGAGAGGGGGGCAGTCGAGAGAAAACGAAAGAGAAAGGCAGCCGAGTTTGAGAGAGTTTTTCTTGGTGAGACTCTACCATTGTTACCCTCTTCTTCTTCCTTTCTATGTGGACTTGCTAACCACCACCACCATGATCCTTTGTGGATGAAATCTTGGAGCAGCCGGGATTTTTCTTCAATCTAGCCGGATCTATTTTGGTGTTTTCCAGACAAACCGCTCACCTTTTGGAGAAACGGACACCACGGCGTGACATGCAGGCAGAAGAGAACATGGGTCGAGGGCGCCTGTTGGACACGCGCCGGCATATGAGGCCCACGCGCCGCTCCGGTGGGGACGCGTGGAGGCGCGTGGGGTCAGATATTGGGGAGACTTCTTTAGGCAGTTTTTCCAGGACATTGAGACGGACCCTGCGGTGTTGTCAGATTTTAGTTTCAGGCAATACGGTGAAAGTTGGACGGTTTTGCCCTTGGACGTTCGGGTGTCGGATGTCGTTCGTGTTGACGAAAGCTTTGGGGCAGATTGCGATAGTCTTAAAGTGGTGAATTCGCAGCTCTCGATATTTACGGACTTTCAGACGTGGTCCACTCGGTATCGCATTCTTTGCCTTCTATTATTGCAGTTATAATTATTGTGTATGATAATTTATTTTTCGCATTAGAAACCATCGTATGGGGTGACGTTAGGTATAGGGTTACCGTGAAGGGATAACAATTGTCTACTGTTAGACCTAAGAATTATTTGTTAATTATTTACATTAAATTCTATGTGAATTAGTTGCCAATTAAGTTTTTTCATAATTAGAATTGCACGTGGCCTTAGGAAAGTATACTTGACTATTCTGTGTGAATTGTGTCGGTACTTTACTTGTGGTCGTTGTTGGTTGCATTTTGTGTTCTGTGAATTTTGATATGTTCGATATGTTGACTTCAAGAGGATTTTCCATGAAAACCAATTCTTGTAAAAACCACCCCTCAAATCAAGGTTTTTGAGTTGGTCCAGGGCCAGCTGAAGCTGAATCGACATCCCTCTAATCATGTTTCCAGTTGTCGACTTCAAGGGAATTTTTCTCCATTGATTAAGCAAGGTCTTGGGCGAGTAAAACATTATCTGATATATTACTTTCAGCGACGAAAATCGTTCATATTACTAATCCAAAAATCATTCGTCATCCTTATTCAACTTTTACCTACAATGGAAAAACTATCAACACATTACAAATGGCCAAAGAGTCCCCCAAATATCTAACATACCAATAAGAACACGTCTAATACGTAATACAACAAGAAAAACTTGCAATAAATAAAGTATTGAATCATATTTATTTAAGACTATTCAAAGCCCCACTCAACAAGTATCCATACTTGTAGCGTGGTCCAATTGTAGACAGAGTAAATTGAGTCAGAATACGCAGCACAAGATGGACTTCTGCAGTGTCCCAATGGACTGGATTTTATTTATTTATTTATTTACATTATCACCTAAATTTGACTTGTTTGGCTTAGAGTTTTCTTTCGGCTCCTCTCTAGTGAGAGCTTTTTCAATTCTTTTTCCTTTTTTTTTTCTCAAAGATTTTCTTCTTGTTTCTTGCTTTCTTTAATTCATTTTTTGCAAATTATTTTTCAAGACTTTTGAAGTTCAATCAAAATTAATATTCTCCGACGGAGATTTACGACATCAAGTCCTTTCGTACTCGATTTATAGTTTCAAAACCTAAAAATTTGGACTCATTAATTTTATTGAATAATGCTATTTACAGTCGCTGCAGCAGTGGCCATATATCGCACATACGTGTCAAATGTATATTTAATGCATTAATATGGTAAAAAAAAAACTACCACATTACTGTATCAAATAACTACATGTCATGTGTATGC